CATAAGATTGCTGCTAGTTGGTCTCCCAAATTCCAAGGACCTTCTTTGCATTCTCTTTACATTGGGTAAATTATGGTAAAGCAAGAGCATTGTCCACGCATCATTTATCCTTTGCACTTGTTGTGCGTCTGGTCCATCCCTGCACATGTTTGTCCATACCTGATGAAGTAGCCGACCTTCTGGGCCTGCTCTATCAACTCTCACTTACAGTCTGGACCCCCGTGTGGACAACCACCTTAGGTTCAAAGCACTTTGGGGGTCCCCAGTTCTGAAATTATGGCTCATGAGCTCCTACCACTTTCAATATAAATTGACACACATAGTTGAAAGTAAAGGCATTTACTAAACCTAGGGTTCGATCTTTCACAAGTATACTTGGCATCACTAGGAGTGGTAGGCACACATATATATACCTTTATCATAGAAGAGGAACACACACGGCCATGGCAAATTATAACTACAGGACCCTTGTAGCTTTTCTTTTCTCATAGTGAGCTCATGCCATTCCCAATAGATCTTCTGGTCATATCTCGCCCCTAGTCACCCTGGGCCGACTCCTCTTTAAAACTCCACAGCTGGCTCTATTTTTTTTGGGGGGGGTTAGGCAGTGAGGTTAAGTGACTTGCCCAGGGTCACACAGCTAGTAAGTGTTATGTGTCTGAGGCTGGATTTGAACTCAGGTCCTCCTGACTCCAAGGCCAGTGCTCATTTCACTGTGCCACCTAGCTGCCCCTGGACTCTATTTTCAACACCTGGAGCTCCTCTGTTGAGGGACTCCTTGAAAGTGCCTCTTATCTACAAAGCTGATGGGCTGATCCCTCAGTCAATAGTAGCTAACTAATTAACTGGTAGAGAAATTTATTCATACCTCCCAAAGGAACAATTAAGTATAAACACTTTTTCTTTCTTTTCTCTAACAGCAATAGATGACCAGGTCATTCTCTATTTTCATCTTTGTCACCCAGGCATAGAATAATCCTTGGAGTGTGAGCCACTTGAGGGCTTTGGCACTTACGTTCTCCACTCTGTGAAAAATTTTCCATCCCTGGAAATCATTTGGGATACACCAACATGTCTGTAGGTATACAGGCTAGCATTCCACATAGTTACTATATCTATCACTGACAGGTTCAGAATAGATGCCTGGTACACAACATCCATAAAATGTAAAACAAGTCTGATATATGCAGTTAAGATATGTGTCATGCCATGCATAATTCTTAGTATACATAACAGTTGCATACAGTAACCAAATATATTAGCCACATGTGGAAATACAGACCTTACCCACATCACAATGCTATACAAAGAACACTCTATGTTAGAATATGGATCACAGAAATATCTATCAGTTGTCTGAGCATTCTTACCAACATGCATATCAACCCTGCACAGCCTGCTTAGTTGGCAATCCATCATTACTTTCCATCAGCATCAGAAAGTCCAACCAAATCCTCAGTAGGAAGTAGTAAACAGTGGATAGTTTTGAGGCTTTCCCCTTTTCCTATTTTATTATATAATTATGCTGGGAGTGAGGGTGGGGGAAATCAAGAGCTCATCAGATAACTAAAAAAATTGTTTTATACATTTGCCTGACTTATTTCTGTACTACGCAATTACCATGGGTATATGTTTAAATCCATATATAAAAATATTTTCAAAATAAACCAAAGATAATTACAATGAATTGTCTTATATAGCTATAATTTGACATGTTGATATCCGTATTTTAGCATGGAAATAGTCCTAAATAAGTACTTCTAAGAGAAGGCACAGCCTAGATGTGCTGGTTTCCTTGGGTGTCTGTTTATGATTACAAATAAATAAAAATATTTTAATAGTTGTCACAGAAACCCCATTATGTAGAAGAGAGTTAGTTTATCAATGATGATATCCTAGATATTTTCAGAATAGCTAGTTTCACATACTAGAGGGAAAAAACATGTTGACCATATAAAATTCTTCTTGGGATTTGCCTATTTTTGAGCAATGACTTTGTTTTCCAACATGAGGTAAGGGGTTATAAATTCTGAATATAGACCAAACCCTTAGCGTTTTTGAAATTTCTAAAAACTATGGTTTAAAATACCTAAAAATCAAATGCTATATGTAAACAGTAACTTGGATTTTTTTTGTTTGTCTTTACAATTTTTGTATTGATCTCCCTATTTAACCTATCTCATACTAACTAGAGTTTAAGGCAGCTAGATGACTCAGTGTATAGAGCGCTGACCTGGAGTCAGGAAGATGAGTTCAAATCTGGCCTCAAATGCTTACTAGCTGTGTGACCCTGGGCAAGTCACTTAACCTGTCGCCTTAATCCACTGGAGAAGGAAATGGCAAACCACTCAAGTATCTTTGCCAAGAAAACCCCATGGACAGTATTGGCATGCTGTGGTCCACAGGGTCACAAAGAGTTGAACACAACTGAATGACTTAACAACAACATGCTAGAGATTAGATTGATATAATCTGAAGTACCATAGTGACAATACAGGTAGTCATAAGTGGTCATTCTGATTCCTTAAAAAAAAACAACAACACATATTCAATGACCTTTAAGAAGGTTTTTACCACCTAACTAATCTTGTATCTTGTTTCAGAACTGGTGGAAAAAAAATCTGCCAGCAGGATCTTTCTAAATCTTACCTAGTATAATATTCTCTATTAATTCTACAGGGCCCTTTCTGTGATTCCTTTCCACTTGATAACTTGACTATGAAGTATTTTGTTGATTCTCATCTTTGGTAGTCTAATTTTGACTCCATTTGGCTTCAAAGTCAGTTTTGCAAAAGGAATACCTAATGCATAGACCACTATCTAATCTTGCTCCCTTCCCTTTCTCTCCATAAAGAAAGAAAAAAAAATTAGATTTCTTTTTAAAAATGCAAACATATTACTATTTGGGAAGCTAAGTAGTCCCGTGGATAGAGCACCCTGGGCAAGTAACTTAACCCTCTTTGCCTCAGTTCTTCATCTGTAAAATGAGCTGGAGAAGGAAATGGCCAAAGCACTCTAGTATCTTTGCCAAGAAAACCTCAAAATGAGATCACAAAGATCACAGACATGACTGAAACCACCCAACAAGTATCACTACTCATAAATTTGCAAAAGTCCCCCTCATATCAAGTCCGGTTGCCATAAAATTATTCTTTAGTGGTACAAATTAAGAAATTAAGTTGTATTTAAGTGTGACAGCAAATAATACAATTAGGGACAGAATAGCAGACTGCCAGTAGGATAACTTTATATCTCTCTAGAGGTCTTTGTTTTTGTGGTAGACCAGATCCTTATTATTTCTGTTAGGTTTGGGCGGGGGTGGGGTGAGGAGTTCTCATCTAATATTAGACTAATGAATAGCATAAGAAAAGAAATATGTCACACCTGATGGTTTACCAGGAGCTATGTAGGGAAATAGTAATGAACCCTAGGAAAATAAATAAGGGCAAATTCAGGAAACATATGTGAAAATGCAGCACTGGTATAAATTGAATAATAAAATTCCTGGTCATATTTTGCCATAAATAGAGGTTTGGGAATTTGTCATTCACCTTATTTAAAATTCAGAAATATTAAAGGTACAGGGTTCTCTCATTACAGAAATAATAGAATTCTGGCTATTACTGAGTTAGGGTAATTTAAATGGCTATAGAATGCATTATATCAATAAATGGAACATCTGTATGAAATGTCCACCTGCTGATCTACTGCTACTCTGTGTACATTTCAATGAAATGCACTTCATCATTTTAAGACTTCTTCTAATGAAGCCTGATCTGGATTAACATTTTGAACACAAATACTTTTAGGCATTAAAACTCTCTCTCTAAATGAAATTGCATTGTCTTGTTTACCCTCGTTGATTAATAAGCAATCTGTTAACTGTTACAACAGTCCAATTGTGCCAGTAGAAAGAGATTAGTAATTCTGTGATGTTGGTGGATATAATCATCATTTTTCTTGAAGGCTCTGAATTAGACTATCACTTACACATTATCCGTAGGCAAAGAAAAGATAGAGCATTTTTAGACATGTGTACCCAGTATTTTTACTAGAGTCATTTCAGCCTAGGGTCACTGCAGCAATAGAAAAACTTCCTGGGGGGTTGGGCAGGAGAGGCAAAATGGTGTTTCAATGCCTTTATATTCCTTCTAAATTGCCTCTATGTGTCTACTTGGGGATATACAACTTTTTATTTTAAACAAAGTGATGTAATAACCTGATACTTTAATTTCGGTTTTTGTATTTTTTTTTTTAAATCAAGTTTAGGAAGAACAGGAATAGCTCAATTATCTGTTTTTTTTTCCCTCAGAAAAGAGGTTTTATATTTTGAACAGCTTTTAGTTTTCTTTAACTTCTTTCAAGCATATCAAAAACCTCCAAACCTTCTTGTCCCAAAGCATTTAATGACAGAACTACTTCCTTTAATGGTGTCTAATTGCCTTCTGTAGGACTTCTCCCCTCATTTCAGGTTTCCAGGGGGATTGAATCAAATTGGGCCAGGCTGTGCGCTTGACATATATGTTTCTTGAAAGGTTTCTTTAATTCAATTTGAAAATGTTAAATGACTAAATCTCAAAGGGGAATAGACTAGCTTTCAGGTACATAACCCAGTGGAGAAGGTGATGAAAGGAGGGGGTGGGGGTAGGGGGGAGAATGTTCTCCTAGCATTAGCTGGCAACATGAGATATTCATCTAAAGCAGGGGGAGTTCTTAACCTTTTTTCCTGTCATGGGCCCTTTTTGACATGGCATTCTGGAGGAGCCTATGGACCCTTTTTCAGAATAATGTTTTAAATGCATAAAATAAAATGCTTGGGATGAAGGAAAGGAAACCACAGGTGTGTTTCAGCCTCATTAGCCTGCTCTTCATTGTGATTGGAAATGATGAGTGTAGCTGAAGAAGATAAAGTGTAAGGAAATAAGAAATTAACAGTTATTGGAAAGTTTGAGGACCAATGGCAGTACTAACATCCATGAATTCCACTCTGTTTGGTGCAGTCTCTGTGTAGTGAAATCAAGCAACACCGGCGTGGGGTGGCCTCGGTCCTCCGCTTATGCCAGCACCTGTTGGATGACCAGGAGACCTGCAATCTGAACGCTGATCACCAGCCAATGCAACTGATCATTGTGAACCTCGAAAGAAGGTGGGAGGCCATCGTCATGCAAGCTGTACAGTGGCAAGCAAGGCTACAAAAGAAATTGGGCAACGAGCAGGTGAGTGTTGCTTGCTTTTAAAAAGGCCCAGTGTTCTCTTCTTTCTTTCTTTCTTTCTTTCTTTCTTTCTTTCTTCTTCTTCTTCTTCTTCTTCTTCTTCTCTTCTTCTTCTTCTTCTTCTTCTTCTTCTTCTTCTTCTTCTTCTCCTCCTTCTTCTTCTTCTTTTTTTCCCACAGAAGGACCATTCTTCTAGGGCTTGGCAAACACTTTCATCCTACAAGTGGCTTTGCTGACTGAAGGTGCACTTCTCTCCTTTCAGCAAATGAAGCTCATTTTTTCCCCCACCAGGCTTAGATTTGCCTGACTAATAAGATGCATTTTAATATGTCTCAATGCTCTGTTTTTAATAGCACACAGGTTTTTATTGAACCTCACCAAAGCAAACCATTAATTCGCTCAATTTCTTAAATCACCCCTTGCCCAGAGTACCTGTTAATCATACGAGACCCCATGAATATTTTGCTAGGAGCCAGTTCTGTACTTTCTGAGCATATGGGGCAGTGCATATTTTCTGGAAATAAAGCAGTATTTACCTTTCCATTACATGATGTGAGTGAGCTCTGATTTAGACACCAATTCTCCTTTATTTCCCACCTGAGGCAGATATGTGACAGTGTCACATTTATGCATTTGCTGAGAGAGGAAGTTTCAGCTCAATCTTGGAAGAAATCATTCTTTCTAAGTCGAATTAGAAGTTCCACTTGCTATTACCAGTCTTTCACTACTACTGATGGCTATCTGCGTGGCAAAGTGGATAGAGCTCCAGGCCTAGAGTCTGGAAAACCTGAGTTCAAATCCGATTATGTGACCCTAGGCAAGTCACTTAACCCCTCAGTTTTGCCTCAGTTTCTTCATCTGTCAAATGAGCTGGAGAAGAAAATGGCAAGCCATTCCCCTATCTTTCCCAAGAAAATTCCAAAGAGTCACAGAGAGTTGGACATGACTGAAAAACAACTGAAAAAACCCCACTAACCCTGCCATTGACCGATAGAAATGAAGGAATCACAAGTGACTATGAATGTGATTGAGATGGAGTAGAATATGAACATTTATATCTAAAGTCTGCAAAGTGCTTTACATATATTATCTCACTTGATCCTCACAACAACCTTGCCAAGAAAACCCCAAATGGGGTCACAAAGAGTCAAATAAGACTGAAATGATTAAATAACAACAAATTATCTCCAATTTACTCATGAGGAAACTGGGGCTGAGAGAGAGGTTAAGAAAATTGCCCAAGATTACATAGGGAAGCATGGGTCTGAGAGAGGTTGTTAGGTCTTCCTGCCTTCAGAAGGTCTAGTGCCCTATCCATTATTCCATATTTTTCATGCATGAACTTGGGGATAGCATTCTGTTTGTAGAATGCCTGACACTTATGTTTGAACAAATAAAGTGAATAAATGAAAAGGGCCCTTTAGATGCCCAGTTCCATATCAGTGGAAAGCTGGGGATTCATAGTTCTAGCAATCGAAAGGAAAAATCCTTTCATGGCAAAGTGAGGTCTTCACTGAATTCCATTTTAATAGTGCCCTAATATTTGCTGTCTGGTATGTTTGGCATCAGGGACTAGGAACAGAAGGGGTAATGAATTAGTTGGCTTTCTAAGCTCCCTACACATATATAGCTACCCTGAGTCTAGAGAGTGGGATATTAGCCTCTGGGGTGCTGTTCAGTGGTTCTAAGCTAAAGTTGTCAAATTGCCTCTGACTTGCAAATTATTACCAACAATTATTGAATTGGTTATGTTTTCTTGAGACCACCTCGTGAAACTACTTAGTCATTGTGTTGGGGTGCTATGGTGCCTTCGGCGCAGTGAGAGATAGGAAAGGTTGTTTTTTCTCTGGGAAATATCTGTGGCAGTGGTTATTAAATGCTGAAACAGGAACCAAAGAGAGCTCTGTGAAGCCTTGAATGTTAATTCTGCAATCTGATTTTCTTAGCATTCAGCCTGCTTCAGGGAAGCAAAACCAGATTTCTGTTGGGAGTCAGAAGAAAATAAAAAGATGGCAAGCAGGCAGGAGTAGCTCTCTGAAGACTAGAAATTAGAATTGTCTCTGGGAGGGGAGCTTTTTATATTATTTCTGGAATAAGGGCAAGCTTCAGCAGTGGGAAAGCCCTGAAGCTACAGTTGTGGAGGCCCTACTACAACTTAGCATCAGTTAGTAACTGTGACAAGAGCAACATTGATCCTCTTTGTTGTTGTTTTCCAGGCAGGAAGCTGCTAAGTCTGGGCTAGTACAAACAGTAGTGGTTAGAAATAAGTCCTTGTGGGTTAAACTGAGTAGGGAACCAATGTAAAAATGGATTAGACTTGGGAATGGAATGAATTTCTGGGATTTGAAAAGTCTGAGGCACTGAGCTAAAGACTGTTTAATGTTGGAGTGTCAATGGAATCTGAGATGTCTCACCCTGTTTTCTGGCATGCTTCCTTGGGATGAAGTTCAAGTTGGCTTTGTGGGACCAAGATATGCATTCCTGGTTTTCCTCTCTACTGAGCATCAGCAGAGTTTTGACCTTGTTTTTGGTTGGGGTTGCTGTGTTGGTGGTGATTCTCATTCAGAATGATTTTGAGAAAAGGAAATGATTTAGTGTATCTCATATAATCAGGTGGTGCAGTGGAGAGAGTGCTGGGCTTGGAATCAGGAAGACTCATCTTCCTGAGTTCAAATCCAGCCTCAGACACTTAACTAGCTGTGTGACTCTGGGCATGTCACTTACCCCTGTTTGCCTCAGTTTCCTCCTCTGTCAAATGTGCTAGAGAAGGAAATGGCAAACCACTCTAGTATCTCTGTCAAGAAAACCCCAAATGGGGTCATGAAAAGTAGGACACAGCTGAAAACAACTAAACAGCAACATAGAATCATAAATGTCTGATACTGAAGGGATCTTAGATCATCTAGCTTTACCCTTTCATTTTACAGATGAGGATACTGAGGCCAGGGAGGGTAAAGTAGCTACCTTGGCAGAGGCAAGACTCAAATAAAAATCATCTGACTGTAATATTGGAAGACAGATTTGTGCAGTAGACAGTCAAGACAGTTCTGAGTTAAAATCCCATTTTTGACATCAACTCACTTTAAGATTGTGCGCAAATCCTTTATTCTTCCTGATCTCAGTTTCCTCATCTATAAAATGGGGATAAGATTATTTGTATTTTGTTCAATTAGTTGCTGTGAGGCTCAAAGAGATGATGGATGGAAAATATTTTGTGAAACTTATAAGTACTATGAAAGTGTCAGCTACTATTATTTCCACTACTCTGTGGCTAGAAGTGATTTATCCTTTGTTTTCTTTCTTTTTAAAAAATTGATAACTTTTAAAAATATCACTTTCATTTTCAAATGTATTTCTCCCTTACCTGGCTGACATTATTTTGTAACAAAGATTAAAAACAGGGACTTACCACCTCTTAAAAATATATGCTATAGTCCATATCCCTAGGTCCCCCGTTCTACCAGGAAGAAAGGAGGAAGAAAGGAAGGTACGTTTTCTCTGGGATAGCACAGTGGATAGAGCACTGGGCCTGAAGTCAGAAAGACTCATCTTCCTGAGTTCAAATGGGGCTTCAGACACTTACTAGTTGCGTGACCCTAGACAAGTCACTTAACTTCTGTCTGTTTCAGTTTCCTCAATGTAAAATAGTACCTCTCAGGGTTGTTGTGAGGATAAATGACATAATAATTGTTTCCATTCCCCCCTTTTTTTTTTTGGCTAGGCAATGGGGTTAAGTGACTTGCCCAGGGTCACACAGCTAGTAAATGTTATGTGTCTGACGCCAGATTTGAACTCAGGTCCTCCTGAATCCAGGTCTGGTGCTCTATCCACTGTGCCACCTAGCTACCCCTCTAATGACATAATAATTGTAAATCACTTAACACAGTGCCTAGCACATAGTAGATACTATATAAATGTTAGTGTTAGTGATGATGATGATGTGACAGTTTTACATGAAAGTCAAGTATCCACTTGGAAGTTACTGTAGTAAATGGTGTAAGAGGCTGATATAAGCCCTTCACTTTTTTGGGCAAGCTGTTTTCTAGTTTTCCATGCAGTTCTTATCAAATGGCAAGTTTTTCCCCAGGTAGTTTATATCTTTTGTTTGATTAATCACTGGACTACTGCAACTGATTCTTTCTGCTTCTTGCTTATCTAGTCTGTTCCATTGATTCTCTTTTCTGTTTTTTTTTTAAACCAGCATAATATATATACATATATCTATATCTTACGATTACAGACTTAAAATGTGATTTAAGGTCTGCAAACACTATTCTTCTTTTACTATTCCTCCCCCCACCCCATTCCATTCATTCTTTTGAGATGGAAGAATACTTCCTCCAAATGACTTTTGTTATTATTTTATCTGCCTCTATGAAGTATCATCTAGTTATAAGGCTAGATCTGGAAATTAATTTAGGTTGGATCATAATTTTTATTACATTGGCAGAGCATAACTGTGAGCAATAAGCATCCCCCCATTAGTTAATGCATTATTTATTTAAAGAATGTTTATTAATTGCATTTCTAGAAATCTTAGAAGATTGACTTCCAGGTTTTTTATACCTTTTGCAATTATTTTGAACGGGATTTTAAAAACATTTTTTCTCCAAAAAATTTTTTATTGCTGAATAGGAATGCTGACAATTTTTATAGATTTATTTTCTTTCTTTACTGAAGTTATTAATCATCTTGATTAGTTTATTTGGTGACTCTCTAGCATTTTCCAAATAAATAATTACATTGTCTGCTAACATAATTTTGTCTGTTCTTTGCCAATATGTTTTTAATTTCTCTTTTTACTTCTGCTTAGAGATCAATCAACTGATAAAAAAATTTAAACTGGGCGTTATGCTGAGCCCTGAAAGCATTTCTAGGACTGCCAGAGAATAGTGGGGAGAGGGTTCATTTTTAATTATTCTCTTATTTGTTTTAAAATCTCCTTATATTTCCTCATTGAAAATAAAGCTGCCTTTGATTTACCACCAAAAATGTCCCTTCAA